GCTCTCTGCAGGCCACTCTGATTCAGGCTCTTTGCTAATGCCAGGGGCTGAAGCTTCATCCAGAGGCCAGAGTCACAGCATGGCTTTGAAAGTGATGGAGTCGAATGCTCATGGTACAAATACACCAAGGAGACAGAAGGGAAGGAATAAAGGAATCCAGAACCTGGAGAAGAGCTTTGTGCCTGTCACTGCAACTCTAGGTCATCAGAGAGAGCTGCAGAAGTACTCTACCAGTGATTGTGAGGGCGCCAGAGGAACTCACAGTGATGGATTGCCAAGTGATGAGAAGCTGGAGGAGTTGAAGGCAGAGGAACCAGGTGACCAGAACTTCAGCAACAAAGTAGTACAGAGGGGGCGGGATTTTTTTGACAGCAATGGGAACTTCCTATACAGAATTTGAGCTGGGGCTTGGCTTGTGGAGATGCCTTGTGAAACACGACTGGACAAGTCTATTTGTAGCTGCCTGGATTTCTGTGTATGGATTAGCCACCTGGGAATGGGAGGAAGTGATGACCCTGGAATGTGGGAGGAAAGAGCTGCTTGGATAGATTCAAACTTCCTGGAGCACCGCTCCCAGTCTGACCCCGGTAGATCTTTAGTACTGATCTTTCTTGTTTGGGCTCTCTGTGCATTGAAAACCAGCCCATGTTGCATGTGTTGTTAAGAGTTTCTGTGATACTTACAATATATATTTGGGAGGAAATGAAAACTTTGCTTTCTGACCTCATTTCCTTCTTGATCAATGGATACTAACAGTTCTGGAACTGCTTAGTCAATTGGTTTTCCTTATTGCAAAATAAAGTAAAATGTAGCAGTCTGTGTTGCTTGGTGCTCTCTGGGATGGGAGGGTTTACCTGTGAACCTTGGAGAGCAAGGGAAGGGAAAAGGCAAAAGGGAAGGATCCCTTGTCATTAAACATTGGAGAGAGATGGAATTAAGAGTGATCCCCAACAAAGGGCTCTGTCCAGAGCACCCTGCACAGTGACAGATTTTGACAACCAAAAACTGAACATCTTTCTTAGTTGCTGGGGTTCTGAAAGAGATTGGGGAGTGGTGGGGTTGACAGAAAATGCAAAGCAGGCAAAGGCTTTAAGGCACTCGACAAAAACTCCAGCCACATTCTAAAGCTTAAATTATATCTGATTTTACGATTTACACCATATTGCTCCAAAAGTGCCAAGAGGTAGGCAAGAGCAGATATACAAGCCCCTTTAAAAATAAGTTAACAGACTCTAAGCTGGCTGCTAATAAGTGGCAACACTAGGACTTAAACCCAGGTCTCACCATTAATCTAGGGCTTCTAGAATTCCAGCAGTATGGTACTGTCTGAAATAATTTCTATTAATTTACTAATTCTTTTAGAAATACTTTATTATAACCAGAAATTCTGGTTACGAATAGAATGAGACACACAAACGACATTGAGTCTGATGACAGTTTTCACCCATGTTTCACTTTAACAATTTACCAGCAAAAGTTGGATACTCAGAATTTAGATACATGTAGGATGTTAAAATTAATGAAAACACTGACATTCCAACTCTGTCACTGCCACTCTGTTCATGGAATCTTGTTGCTATTTTAAATGTCATTAACAGCAATTACAATATCATTAACTCCTGCATATCATCTGACCCATGCCCTTTCCCCAAAGAACTATGGAAATCTAGAAGCTGTTCTTACAAACTTGGATGTTTTCCATATACCTTATCCTATACCATTCCCTTGCTCACTAAGCTTAAACCTTTTTTCCATTCTCGCAAATACCAAACTACAGCTTTTTCCATTCTTGCATCTTGCCAACCTAAGGCCCCTTACTGGTTCTTTGCCCCAGGATTTTCACCTGGCTGGCTCTTTGTCATTCAGGTCTCAAGTCAGATGTCACTTTCTTAGGCCTTCCCTAATCACAGGGTAAAGTGGCTCCCGTCATATCATCACCACACCCTGTTTAATTCTCTGCAGTGTCTAAGACTGCATTGTTTGTCATCGCCAACCGCCCCCTACCCCCCGCTTTTTCTTTTTTTGAGACAAGGTCTCTGTCACCCAGGCTAGAGTACAGTGATGTCATCATAACTCACTGCAACCTCGGCTGAAGTGATCTGCTGCCTCAGCTTCCCAAGTAGCTGGGACTACAGGTGCTCACCACCAGCTAATTTTTCTATTTTTTGTAGAGACAGGGTCTCGCTCTAGCTCAGGCTGTTCTCAAACTCTTGGCCTCAAGCAATCCTCCCACCTCAGCCTCTCAAAGTGCTAGGATTACAGGCATGAGCCACCACCTGGCCATCCCACCCCCTTCAGAATATATAGGGTAGGAGACCCGTGTGTTCATTGCTGTAGTCCCAGGTCCTAATATGTAGATCACAGTATTGGTTGAGTGAATGAAAAAATGGCTGGAGAACCTCACAATAGCCAGTCTGTGATGGCAGCCTACCTACCCATCCAAACCTCAGCCAAGGCACCTAAGCTTCCTCCAGGCTGACCTGTTTCTGCTCCATCTTGTCAGTGTGTCAAGGATCTTAACTCACTGGTATGGCAGTGTTGCAGGAAACTGAGCTCAGGCTGGGAGACTGGAATGTGGGATGGGAGATAATTCCAGCTCTGTGTTCCACTGGGCTGGAGTCACAGGACTCCATAGGCTTCTGTTCCCCGGCCGTCCTGTTTCATGTCACAATGAAGAATGTCAACGCTACGCTAGAGGAGGTGGAACTGCACTTTGGAGCACAGGTGCAGTATCTGGCAGAGGATGCAACACCTGACAAGGCTCTGCCTGAGCTGGACAGAAAGCAGCTACAAGTGGTGAGGGCACTTCACAGCAACCTTGGGGCCAAGCTCAAAAGGCTAGCAAACTGCACAACAGAAGAGACTTACGTCTCTGTGCCCTGGAGCATACACGCTTTAAGGGGCAGTGGAAGTGAAATCCACCATCTCAGAGCAGCCTTCATCTCGCAGTGCAGCCAGAATTAGATCTAAGGGGGTGGTTGGGGGGCGTGGGGGAAAAGGCTCGGCATAAAATACTAGATGAGCTCTTGAAGCACAGAAAGTATTTTTGTCTTTTGCTTAACCTTATATTATAGAACTTTTCCAATGTACAAAAGTAGAAAGAATATGGTAATGCAATGAACCTCTGTGCACTCATCACCCAGCTTTTTTTTTTTTGAGTGGGGTCTCACTATGTTGCCCAGGCTGGTTTCAAACTCTTGGCTTCAAATGATTCTCAGGCCTCAGCCTCCCAATCCCCTCCCTGGGATTACAGGTGTGAGCCATCATGTCCAGCTGACAAGTTTTAGTAATTCCTTAATATCAGCTGATATTGTCACCCTGATAGTGGTCTTTGTTTCATAAATGACTTTTACAGTTGATTTATTTGAATTATTATCCAAACAAGGTCCATATGCTGCAACGTTGCATTTTGTTGATGTGTCCCATGTCTCTTTTATTCTAAAGTGATTTCCCCTCCCACATTTTCACCCTTGCCATTTATTTTTTGAAGAGAGGTCATTTGTCCCATGTAGTCTCCTGCATTTTGGATATGGTTGATTTCATCCCTGTGATGTCTTAACATGGTCCTACTATCTCAGTTTTTGGCAATGGGTAATGCTCTGTACTTCCCATGCATCTTACCAGGAAATGATATGATAGTATGATTGATCAGAGTTTAGGTATTAGCCTGATCCATCCATTATGTCTCTCAAGTTGGTTTTTTTTTTTTTTTTTTGAGACAGAGTCTCACTCTGTCGTCCAGGCTAGACTGCTGTGGCGTCAGCCTAGCTCACAGCAACCTCAAGCCATCCTCTTGCCTCAGCCTCCCAAGTAGCTGGGACTACACCGGCTGGTAACCATGCCTGGCTAATTTTTCTGTTTTTAGTAGAGACGGGGTCTCACTCTTGCTCAGGCTGGTCTCAAACTCCAGAGTTCAAGCGATCCTCCCGCCTCGGCCTCCAAGAGTGCTAGGATTACAGACATGAGCCACCGCGCCCGCCAAGTTTTTTGTTTTATTTTGTTTTTAAAAACAAAGTAGATACAGATCATTACCATCACCTCTGAAAGTTTCCCCATTTGTCTTCCCAGTCAATCCCCAGCCCCAAAGGCGATCACTTTTCTAAAACAGGTTTTCGCTATAGGTTAGTTTTTCCTGGTCTAGAACCTTATATAAATGGCACATACGGATGTATTCTCAGAGAACTCTTATTTGACTTTTTTTAATTCCCCTTTTTTCTTTTTCTTTTCTGAGGCAGCGTCTCGCTCTGTTGCCCCGGCCAGAGTGCAGTGGAGCGACCATAACTCACTGCAACCTCAAACTCCTGGGCTCAAGCAATCGCGCCACCACAACCGGCTAATTTTTTCTATTTTGTGTAGAGATGGGGCGGGGGGAGGGGGGCCCGCTACGCTATTATGCCCCGGCAGGTCTCGAACTCCTGGCCTCAAGTGATCCTCCCACCTCGGCCTCCCAAAGTGATGGGATTACAGGCATGAGCCACTGCGCTCAGCCATATTCAGTTCTTTTTATTGTATGAATATGCCACAGTTTATCCATTTTCCCACAAAGGCCACTAACAAGTCAAAACTCCGATACCCGAAAGTCACAGCTAGCAGGACTCAGCTTCCATCAGATCCTAACGCGTCTCTCTCTGTCCACCCACCCCATCTCCACGCTTCTCGCCAACCACCGCACCGAAGCCAGCGGCCTTGCCCGTGGCTAAATTCGTCCAGTAGCTCTGATTGACCATCAAGACCCCACGGATCAGTCCCCTCCAGCCTCTGACTTGGCTTCGCTCACTTTATGAAGTCCCTGTAAAAAGATCAAGTGCCCAACCCTGACTTGTGTAAACCAGGAAAATTGGGTGTACCATTAAAATTAGCTTAAGGTATAATCATTTTATCCTAGGAAAACTCCCCTCTAGCCAGGAATGAGGCTGGAAATTTGGCTCATCGCCTCCGGTTCCTAAATGTCCCTTTCAGGACGCCGTCCCCTTCCCGGTACACTTAGCGCTGGTCGAGAAAACGCGACTTCCGGGAGCTCTAAGAAGTCGCTTCCCGCTCTGGCAGGAGGCGGGGCCCTGCGTGCACGCCGCGGAGTCTGCTGGTGTAAACTGCAATCCCGCTGACGGGACCAGGGAGGGACGGGCCGGGAGACGGTGGCTGCAGCGCTGAGACTGGGGTGCCCCGAGGCCGCGCCGTCTGTCCTGGACGTGGCCGTTCATTCCTGGCGTGCGGCTGAGGAGCAGGGGCCCCTCGGGGGCTCTGGGAGTCGGTGCCTAGGCCTGAAGGACAGCCACCTCGCGCTTGCCCTGGGCTGCTGCCGGCCTTCTCAGAGCGGAGGGCGTCCCCTTCCTCCACCCCACGGCCCAGGTGACCGCTGCCATGGCTTTTCCCCATCGGCCGGACGCCCCTGAGCTGCCTGACTTCTCTATGCTCAAGAGGCTGGCTCGAGACCAGCTCATCTATCTGCTGGAGCAGGTCAGTGCTCGCTGTTAGGTTTGTTCCAGGTGGGACGCCCTAACACTCGCCACGCCTGGCCTCTTTACCGCATCGAGTTTATCACTCACTGGACGCATCTTTCTTCCCTGCTTGAGACCCCTTGATTGTTTTTGTTTTTGTTTTTTGAGACAGTGTCTCGGTCTGTTGCCCAGGCTAGAGTGCCGTGGCGTCAGCCTAGCTCACAGCAACCGCAAACTCCTGGGCTCAAGCCATCCTCCTGCCTCAGCCTCCTGGGTAACTGAGACTACAGGCACGCTCCACTGTGCCTGGCTAATTTTTTCTATTTTTAGTTGTTTGGCTAATTTCTTTCTATATATAGTAGAGACGAGGGTCTCGCTCTTGCTCAGACTGGTCTCCAACTCCTGAGCTCAAGCAATCCTCCCGCCTTGGCCTCCCAGAGTGCTAGGATTCCAGATGTGAGCCACCCCGCCCGGCCGACCCTTTGATCTTGTTCTTGGCCCTTGGTGTTGCCCTTGGAGCTTCCGCAGCAGGTCCAAAATGGAATGCTCAGAGAGGAAATCCAGAGGGTAGTAAGAGCTGCTTGGGACCTGGCCAGAAAGTTAATGGACATCAATTTTTTTTTTCATACAGGCAAGGGAGACACCGCTAGTGCCAGGCATCACTGGGGATGGAAAGATGTTAAGAGATCTTTGCTATTAGGGATCTTACCACTGCAGTAGGAGCCTCATGAAACACAGATTACCACACACACAATATCGGGTGGTAAATGAGTGATAGCTAAGGTGCCTGAATAGTTCAGAATAAGGGATCATTTCTAGCTAGGGTGATAGAGGCGTTTCAAAGAGCTGGAGTATGAATAATAATCATATTTTCTTTGGAAATGGGAGAGCATGCTCCAGGCAGATAGACTGGTAGGAGCAAAGTTGAGGGAACAGGGAAGGGCAAGGCACATACAGGGAAGAGAGCCATCGGAAGTTACACAGTAGGCATTAAGCAGCCACTGAAGGTTCTTTTTTTCCCATTTGTGGCATGAAGCAATACTTGCTGGTGATTCTCTTAGCGATGTGTGGTGTGGGGTAAATGGGAAACAGAAGGCCAGTTAGGAGACCATAGATCAGACTGAAGTAATAAAGGCCCACTCAAAGATGGTGGCAGTGGGACTAAGAGAAATGATAGATTGTTAACTTCTGGCGAAAGAAGACTCAAAGACTTATTGATTAGTTATAAAGGTTGAGAGAGAAGCAAAGCTGAGTGTGAGGTTTTTCACCTGAGGCTACTGTAATTTTATTGGATTACTTGTTTAATTATTTAGTTATTGGTTAGTGTCCATATTGCCCATTAGATTGAAAGGTTCTTGAGGAGAGACATGAACAAGACATGTCTGTTTTGTTCAACACTATTTACCCAGTGAATACCTAGCTTAGAGTCAAGCACATAGCATATGCTTAATAGGTATATGTTATATGAACATTGAATGGAAATGAAGAAAGAGGAAAAGGGCTGGTGGGGGAAGTTGATTTGGGTTTGGACGGGGGGAAGTTAAGATGCCAGTAGGAAATGCAGAGCCAGGCGTTGTAACATGTGCCTGTAGTCCAGATGAGGCAAGAATGAGTTTGAATCCAGACTAGGCAACATAGAGGCCCCATCTCTAAAAAACGAAAAGGAAATGCAGCTTGTAACACCCAGCAGATGGAAACGTAGAGCTGCAACTCCATTGTGAGTGCTGAGATGAAGACTTAAGAGAACCTCAGAGGATCTGAGACCGTATTTTCTTTCTTTTTTATATGCCCTATAGTGCTAACACAGTGATTTGCACATAAAAGACATGCAACAAATGACTGAGAAATTGAAGAAAGGTGCTAATTAAAGCCACTAGTTCAGGTGAGATCATGAAAGAGAGTAGATGAGACCAAGATAGAAACTTATAAATGGAGTGTAGATACGGAGGAGGAACCAACAGGGTGACTCAACATGGCCAAAATGGATCTCGGTGCAATAAATAATATCGTCTCCAAACTAACTTCTGCCCTAAGTCTTGTTGATGGGCACTGCAATTCAGACTTGAAACATCAGAATCATCTTTGACTCTCCTTCCCCCTCATACTAACTGAACCAGTTTCTGAGTTCCATAGATACTCCCTTATACATACTTTTTTATAATGATTATAAAATAACATTTGTACATTATAGAAAATATAAGAACAAGGAAAGTATAAAGAAAAAAAATCACTTATAATCCTACCATCAGATGGAAACTTCTGATGACTTTCTCCTCCCTGTCACTAACTGTGACCTCTCCTTCCTCTGAACAGATGTGAGAACTCAGGAGGGACAGTGCAAGAATCAGATGACAGGGATTGTGGGGTGGGTGAGTACAAGCAAGAGTGGTAGGGCAAGGACTATTCTGGGTTTTCTAAGTTTTCTGCATTGAGCATGTGCTATTTTTGTAATTAGGAGAAAAATGCAATTGGAAAAGATATTTAGCAGTTAGTTGAGGGCATTGCAGGATGCAAGGTGGGATTCTGTTGTGTTTGGCTTTGTTCAGCAGGAAACCAGGGATTGTTGGGAGGCAGAGTGGAGGAGAGCAATGCTGTAGACCAAGGTCACAGGTGATCAGGAGAGTTGAGTGACAAGGAATTAACCTGAGAAAGAAAGTGGGCTATCTTTCTACTGATACAGGAAATGAGAAGGCAGAATAGGTATATACACTGAGAAATGTTAACTGTGTATATAGACAGTAAATTAGGTGCTAGGCTAGGTGATGCCTAGCACCCTTCCAACTCACGGACTGTGTTCGTATTAGATGGGTGGCTGGAAAACTTCTCAGCTGCGGGAAAACTTCTCAGCTGCGGGAGCTGTGTGACCTATGAGTGACCCAAATACTGTGTCTCCTTCAGCTTCCTGGAAAAAAGGATTTGTTCATTGAGGCAGATCTCATGAGCCCTTTGGATCGAATTGCCAACGTCTCCATTCTGAAGGTACTAGCCCTTGCCCCAGGGGACTCAGGCCCTTCTTTCCTCTTTGAGCAGTTTTTCTTTTGATGAACAATACAAATTCCTAGAGAGTGACTACCCTTATAGGACAAATACAGGTAGTTGAATTGGGTGGACAGAGGGGGATTGATGCTGTTGTTTGTATTGTTTCAGTTTTGGTTTTCTTCTTGACAGTTTGAGGAAGATTTAGTGGGATGGTTGTCGGAGGAGCAATTTGATTCCAAAATTAGCATAAATAGGAAACCCTTAAGAAATCCCTGTCTTTGTAGCATGCTTTGTGCTTTTCAAGCTCTCTTAGGTCCGTTGTCTTGTTGGATTCTCTCTGTAGCAACACGAAGTAGACAAGCTGTACAAGGTGGAAAACAAGCCAGCCCTCAGCTCCAGTGAACAGTGAGTATCTGGGAGTGTGTCTCGTCTCTCAGCTGGAGGAGGTCCTTAGGGGCACATTTGCCTTTTAGTGTCCTAGGCTGAGATACATGGTTCACTTCCTTGAGCTTTACTATGTCAGGCCTAAGTTACTGCTTTGGCTCCTAATGGTTCTCCCTTTCTGTAGTTTGCCCTCTTCCCTCTCTAATCCATATTACCATCTATGACCAGATTGATTAATCTTTCAAAATTATTTTCATTGTGCTCTTCTCAACAAGGCTTCCATTACTTACTGAAGATTGTCCAAATTGCTCATGACAGACTCCAAGGCTGTCTGCGGCGTGGCCTCGCGCACTGCCTTTCCAGCCTTGTGTCTCGTGCACTCCTTCCAGCCTGTATTGATAGGTGCTTCCACACGCTTCCTAGCTCCGTGCCTGCGCCTTTACCCTTTTGACCACTCCATTCACTGTCTGAAACTCTCTCCTGTCCTTGCTGCTCCGGAGGAATGCCCGTCCTGCAGAGCCCAGCCCGCCTCCCCGAAGAAGCTCTCTCTTGCCCTTCCAGTCCAGGGGGATTTTCTTCTCTGGATTTGCATGGCATTTTGTATTTGTCCTGTTGACTTGGCAAGCAGTCATATGTTGCCTGTAGTCTTTTTAAAAAATAGTTCAAAAAAGTTTCTCAAACATATAAGTTATGTCTATACATAAACATAATTAATGTATACCATTCCTTAGAAGAAAAAATTCTCCCGGATACATGGAGAATACATCCATGGAGGGTATATCCTTATCTGTGGACTCTAGTTTGAAAAACATTATTTTCAGCCAGGCGCAGTGGCTCACGCCTGTAATCCTAGCACTCTGGGAGGCCGAGGCGGGTGGATTGTTTGAGCTCAGGAGTTCGAAACCAGCCTGAGCAAGAGCGAGACCCCATCTCTACTAAAATTAGAAAGAAATTAATTGGACAACTAAAAATATATAGAAAAAATTAGCCGGGCGTGGTGGCACATGCCTGTAGTCCCAGCTACTCGGGAGGCTGAGGCAGGAGGATCGCTTGAGCCCAGGAGTTTGAGGTTGCTGTGAGCTAGGATGACGCCACGGCACTCTAGCCAGGGCAACACAGTGAGACTCTGTCTCAAAAAAAAAAAAAAAGAAAAGAAAAACATTATTTTCTATTACTTTCTTAGACTGTTTTTTTCAAATTTTTCAAAAAAATTTGATTTAGTTTATTTTTATTTTTTTTTTTTATTTTTTTTCTTTTAATTCTTTTCTTGGCTATTGTGATAGTTTAGTTTTAGAGACAGGGTCTCGCTATGTTGCTAGGCTGGAGTGCAGTGGCTCTTCACAGGTGTGACCATGGTGCACTACAGCCTCAAACTCCTGGGCTCAAACAATCCTCCCACTTCAGTCTCTCCAGCAGTGGGGACTACAGGAACACACCACTGCGCCTGGCTATAGTTTCATTTTTAATTGACAAATAATAATTGTATAAATTTATGGGGTATTCCTGTTTTTAGCCCTTGACTGTTAATATACTCTGTATATGCATCTTCTTTTGCCCACTGGATTATGAATTATTTGAGAACAGGAACTCCTATGTCCTCTAAGGCTGCGATCCCTGAGCCCCGGGCCTCGGAGCAGTACCGGTCTGTGGCCCGTCAGGAACCGGGCCGCACAGCGGATGAGCGGCAGGCGAGCAAGTGAAGCTTCATCTGTATCTACAGCTGCTCCCCATCGCTCACCATCCCTCCCACCCGCCATGGAAAAATTTTCTTCCATGAAACCGGTCCCTGGTGCCATAAAGGTTGGGGACTGCTGCTCTGTAGGGCCAGTAAATGCACCCAGCTCATCACAGCATACCTGTTGTCTTGAGAGGTGCCTTCTGTGGTTGGTATGTGGTAGGAGAGGAAAACTGGCATAGCTTTGGCTAGGATGTGACCTGCAGACTCTGTCAAGAAGGGCAAATGGTGAAAGAGTTGGTATTGTTTTACTTTCTTCTAAGCTGCTATCAAATTTTATGGTTTCTTTTCACTTTTTTTTCCTTTCTCTCCCATAGATTGTGCTTCTTGGTCAGACCCCGCATCAAGAACATGCGATACATTGCCAGTGAGTGTGCCATGGTCCTGTGTGTAACTAAGACTGGGGAAAGGGTGGGCAAAATCTAAGGGCCTTGGCCATAGGACCCTTTATTTATTTATTTTTTTGGAGACAGAGTCTCACTCTCTTGCCCAGGCTAGAGTGCTGTGGCGTCATCCTAGCTCACAGCAACCTCAAACTCCTGGGCTCAAGTGATCCTCCTGCCTCAGCCTCCCGAGTAGCTGGGACTACAGGCGTGTGCCACCATGCCCGGCTAATTTTTTCTATTTTTAGTTGCCCAGCTAATTTTTTCTATTTTTAGTAGAGACAGGGTCTTGCCCTTGCTGAGGCTGGTCTCAAACTCCTGAACTCAAGCGATCCTCCTGCCTCGGCCTCCTAGAGTGCTAGGATTACAGGCGTGAGCCACCGCACCCAGCCTCACAGGACCCTTTCATGAGAAAAGAATTGTTTGAGTTGGCCATAGCACTAGTACAGGATATCTGCTTCCTTGCTTCTAGTCTAACAGATGCAATTCTAACAGCAAGCTCGTGGCTTGCCGGCCTGCATTCCTTTTCTCTGTAGATCTTGTTAATGCTGACAAATTGGCTGGCCGCACTCGCAAATACAAAGTGATCTTCAGCCCTCAGAAGGTGAGTTTGGATCCTGGCAGGAGTGGGATCAGATAGAACAGTACTGAGGACTGGGCAGGAGTGAGGGCCAACAGTGCCATCTCCCTGTCTCAGTCCATTTTCTGTTGCTATAACAGAATACCTGAGACTGGGTAATTTATAATGAAGAGAAATTTATTTAGCTCATGGTTCCAGGGAGACTGAGAAGTCCAAAAGCATGGCGCCGGTATCTGGCAGGGGTCATCCCATGGGCGAAGGGTGGAATGCGGAAGCAAGCATGCAAGCCAGAGAGGCACCAGGCGCCAGCCTCGCTTTGTAGCAACCCCCTCCCGTGATAACAACAGTAATCCATTCAAGAGGGCTCCTCTCTCACAGCCCAGTCTCCTCTTACGAGGCCTCACCTCCCAACACTGTTGCACTGGGGATTAAGTTTCCAACACATGAACTTTCGGGGGACACATCCAAACCATAGTACTCTCTCAAAGCGAATTATGTGTGACCGACGCAAATACCGATCACTGTCTCTTCATTACTGTATTCCTGATTGTTGAGCAGAGCCTCTGTCATCACACTGCCCAGGTAAAGTATCGTAGAATTGTGAGAGGCCTCTACATAGATTTCTTTAAATGAAAACCTTCACACTTTTGAAGTAGAACCTGCTGGTGTATCCCTGCTAACACAAATTCCAGTATACAAATGATGCTCGATGTTATGGCTTTTCAGTGACTTTCTCCTTGTACCCTTTTAATAATAAATACAATAAATCATTCACCCACTCCCCGCCACCCTCCATGCTCATCGAGGGATGTGGCTGGGCTGCCCCTGGGTTACTAGAACCGTTCTACCATACATTGTTGGAAAAGCCTCTTCTTACACAGGAAAGGAACCTTAGAGACCATTTCACTCCACTCCAGCTTGGAGCAGCTGAGAGAACTGAAGCCCATGCTCACACAGTGGGTTAGCATAGCCAGACTAGGTCTCTTCCATCGCCATCTCAATAATGGCAATAAGTATCTGGAGACCCGTCATAGTGTCTCCGTTTCTCGATTCCATGGAGCTCCCCTCTCGCCTGCACGTCAGCCAGGTGCGTCGTACGTAGGTGCCTCCTCCATCTCAGTGACGGGAAGAAATGCTGTTCCCGGCCTTCACATTGCCAGCTGTGGGCCTAGAAAGCTATGCCAGGTAGTACATGCCACCTTTACAGCAGGTAGAAACTAAAGTTGAAAGGACAGGGCTTTACTCCTTTTAAATTTTTCTAAGAAAATTCTAGAGAAAATAGAAGTAGTAGCCAAGACTGAAACTCTGAAGCCAGGTTGTCTGGGTGTGGCATCCTTGCTTTAGCACTCATTACCTCTGTGATCTTGGATAAGGGACTTAACTGCTCTGTGGCTCAGTTTTCTCATCTAGAAAATGGAGTTGATAATACTACTTATTTAATTTATTTAAATACTACTCATTTAATTTAAGTGCGATGACTTTCAGTCTCTGTTAAGATAAGAAATCAACTGGGATCATAGGCTTATGTTTTCTCATCATGTAAAAGGAGTAAGAGAATAAAGCTAGTGATCTTCCTTTGAAGGCCATTTGAAGATTGATATCTCAATCTTACAAATATTTATCTTGTTCAGGAATACAAATATATGAAGTATTATGAACAGGGCAAGAAATTATTGAGTAAGACAACCAATCAGAATTATAGGTTACTCTTGAATGTTATTAAAGGAGTCATGGAAGTAACTTCTAGTTTTTGGACTCTTATAAAACCCTTTTCTTCAAATTAACTTAGAAGGACAGATTTGTATTAATAGGAAATAGAGAAAGTAGATAACAGTTTAAAATAATCCCACAGGCCTCCATATTACACAGAAAAACAAAATTGGTATTTTTATGAATGTTTTATACCCTATCTAATCAAATGCTTTGATCTAATTTTCTATCACAGGAAGATCTTTCCCTCAGTAGCTGTGGGGAAGAGGAGGCATGTCTATCTCTTCCTGAGACTCCCTTCATTAATTATGAAGATTGGCAGTTTTCACACTGGGCTCTAGAATTCCATTAGTTAGCATTAAAAGTTAAAAGCAGGCCTGTAGATTTCAGGTTAACTGGCAGAAATGAGTGAGGAATGAAGAGGATTGTTCTGTGTAACAATAAAATAAGGAGCACATAGCATTAATTGTCCATACCTCAGATTAATCTGAGGATGAAGACAGGTGATCCTTGTAAAACACAAAGAACAGTCCTAGTCCATGTTAAGTGCTTAATACACATTAGCTATCATTAGTGTCATCATCATCATGAGATGGGATTGCCCTCGACATTCTTGCTCATCACCTCCAAATATTTCATCCTTTCCCCACTTGTCTCAGAGGAGGCCTTTTCCCTCCTAAGATCCGCCGTTGCAGCCCTGGTCTTGGCCCCAGCCCTGCCTGCCTTCTCCACTGTCTTGCTTTACCAGGTAGATGTTCCCTTTTGTCTTCACTGATGTCTGTCCCTTCTAAACAATTTCCCCGCCTCTTCTCTTCTCCCTGTCGGGGGGCCCCCGTTCTTTGATAGCCATTTATCTGTGAAGAGTGATCTGCTGTCACTGCTCCTGCTTCCTCACTTTCATCCTTTCTTCTGGTCTCCTAAAGGTCCCCGTTGTCAAAGCTGGTGGTGTCTGATGCTCATCCTACTTAACTTCTCTGGCACTTTGCATTTTTGCCCATTCTTCCCTGAAACTGTCACCTTCCCTGCCTTTGGTGGTGCTGTGCTCTGCTCCTGCCTAAGTCTTCTTCCTTGGTCTCCTCTGCCAGGTCCTGCATGCTGCCCCTTTTGTCTTGGTGTTCCCTTGGGTTCTTAGCTCTCCCTCTCTGCATTCTTTTTGCTGGGACAAACCATCCACTTTAGATACCACATATATGCCGTCAACTCCTAAGGCCATGTCAGTGTCTCCCCTGGTCCCAGGTTCCTAAACAGAACTCGCTCTCTCCCCGCACTGCTCTTTTTTGCCTACCTGCTCCCCCAGGATTTCTAGAGCACTTCCATGCCACTGCTCCCACCTCTGCTTGCACGACTCACCCTTCAAGGACAGCTGAAATCCTTTGTAAAGTTTTCCAATCTCTCAAGGAGATAAAAAAGCAGTTTACTTGATACAGAAATAAAATGGATGGAAAAGAAATGGGCTAGGTGATTCCAGCAGTCCTTTCTAGATTTAAGAGTCTGAGTTCCCTTGTCTTTTTTCTCTGGGTTCAGTCATTATTGTCTTCATTAGTGACCTTAGAGGAACTCCAGAGAAATGGAAAGAACAGAGACGGTGGTTATACTCAACTCCCTCTTCTTTTTCAGTTTTATGCGTGTGAGATGGTGCTCGAGGAAGAGGGGATCTATGGAGGTGAGAGGAGATGAATGTGAGTGGAACAGGGGAGAGAACACATGGAAGAGAGAAATCGTTGTTGTTCTCCACCCCAGCTCCCCCTTCTCCTGGTCTTACTCCAGTCAGTCTAGCAGGGGGAGAGGTTCCGGAGAATGGGAATGGGGGCTGGACCCAAATTAGAACACTAATGGGATGGCGTGAAAGGGAGGCCAGAGCTTAGAGCTGGAAAGACCAACGGCTCTGTTCTCCCCTTTCAAGACGGGAATGTTAGGGCCTCTCCACCTCTGTATGCTCCTCACTCCATGCTCCGTGCACCCCACACCTGATCACGTACTCCCTGCTGAAATCCTGCAGTGACTAAACATAAAGCCCGGAATCTTCACCTTGTACACTTGGCCCTTCCTGTCCCTTTAGCCTCGTTCCCTGCTGCTCCCTTCTCCTGACTCGCCACCCTCCAGCCATGGGGACTTTGCACATGCTTTTCCTGTTGCCTAGAATGTTCTCCACCCTGCAGCTTTTTGCCTTCCCAAACCTTACCCCAATTCTAAGCTTGATTATCACTTGTTGAGGGGAGACTTTTCTGCCCCTAGTTGTGGTTACATCCCTGTAATATTTGTGCTCACGGCTTGCTGTTTTACTTCTTTGGAGCACAACTGTAATTAAATAGTTTATACCATAATTTGTGTGGTCGTGTCTCCCCTGCGAGGCGTACACTCTGGGAGATCAGGAGCACGTCCGTTTGCTCCCTGCTGTATCCCTGGTGCTTAGCGTAGTCCTGCATGCAGGCGGCTTTCAGGAAATATTAATATTTGCTGAATGAACGTTTCCCTAGCACTTTATCCCATTTTATTCCAGGCTGCTATGGACATGTCTCCTTTCATTATCAGACTCTGAGCTCCTTAAGGGCACAGACCATGTCTTACTCCTTTTTAAGTCTCTAGTGCTTAACACAGTACCTGGTGTGTGGCACTTAAATGTTTGTTGCATGACTGTGGTGAACCCTCCCACTTAATGTGGAGCTGAGTGCATTCTGCAGGGAAGTTGATGCTTTCTGTCCCCACAGATGTGAGCTGTGACGAATGGGCCTTCTCTCTGCTGCCTCTTGATGTGGATCTGCTGAGCATGGAACTACCAGAATTCTTCAGGGACTACTTTCTGGTAAATGCAGGGCCTGTAGGTCTTGGCATCAATGGCTGGGGACAAACATGGGGTCCAGTGGGCTAGAAATATTGATTTAACCTTTGTCCAGCTCAAATAATTTATCATGAGTGATAATGATTGAGTGCTACAGCTTGATCTCCATGGGACTTCCTTTGTGGCCAATGAAAATGAACTGTTTCAAGTATTCCCCAGATGCTGCCATCCTGCTCCGGGGTTTCTAGGGCCACCCACTTTTCAGATGGGCCTGTCCGGTTGATTCGTATCTTTGTGGCCCATGTGGTCCCTGCAGGAAGGAGATCAGCGTTGGATCAACACTGTGGCCCAGGCCTTACACCTTCTCAGCACTCTCTATGGTTCCTTTCCCAACTGCTATGGGATTGGCAGATGTGCCAAGGTGAGAGCACTGCAGTTCTGTTGTCCTAAGAACCCCTATTCCCCCCGTTCTGTACCCGCCCAGGATCATCCAAGGGCATCTGTGATACGATGTGTATTCTTTACTTTGCTTTTATTGTTCTGGAATAGTTCCTCAGAGACAACTTGTGTGGCTAACAGAGAGGCAAGAGCCAGGGCCTCCTGGGTAGCATTCCTAGATCTCTTTTTTTCTTGGGGG